GAGAAAGGGCTGTGAAACCCTAGCTTGATATGGTTTATTTAAATCGACCAAGCAAGAAACAGAGGTCCACACGACACGTAGTGTATTTATTATTATTTAATGCTACATTGAATATTATTATTATTATTAAACTCGCAAACACTCCAGCCCTACCCAGGAAGAACAGCTTTTTTTTTCTTTCCTTTTAAGATTTATTCTTGAGTAGGAAGGAGCATTAAAACTTAAAAGAGGCTAGGATAGACAGTAAGAAAAAGGGGGAAACAAATAGAGAGGAGGAAATAAGGAAACAACACGACGACTATCCATAAGGGATGGGAGGTGGCATTGTTCATCAATTCACTCACCTCTACTCGGTCAGTCCTGGACTTCTTCTTCTTCTTCTTCCTCTAGCTCTCCTTCGTTCTTCTTTTGCTTCCACTTTCCAGATTGAGAGAGAGAGAGAGAGAGCTGTGGTCGGTAGAAGAGAAGAGTGGTTGCTCAACTGACTCGAAGCCCTTGTGAGCTTGTTTGTTCAAGGAAAGCTAAAGGTAGAGAATGTAGGGGGCAGCGCAGCGACGCAATGATGGGTTGAATTCATGATCATATCACGGCACGCGTGAACCGATTTTAATTCATCGGCTGGGTTGGTTCGCTTTGGCTCAGCTCAGGCAGTCCCTCTCCCCGCCTTCCCTCACTACCCAGTTTTATTGGGCCTAAGGCCTATTCGATCCGCTCTTTGTAATTAATTAAAAGGCCCATCATCACCTGCATCTGATCAACTCAAAGATCCTTCAGGCTGCAAGCTGTAGAAATGGAGAGCACTCTCTCTCTCTCCCTAGCGTGCTATTTTCATCTGATCTCACTCCCTCCTTCCTAATTCGTCGATGAACCACCATAATTATTGCCTTGGCCTCTCTCCTTTTTTGTTTTGTTTTTGGTTCCTATTTTAGTTTATCATCACGCTGACCCAAACGCACATCCATAAGAATTTCCTGCCTATCACATATCGATTTGCTAATACAACAGCTTCCCACCTTTTTTCCCGTTGTTCTAGCCCCAAGGGCTTCTTCTTCTTGAAACCCTAGGACACCCCCCCTCTCTTCACTGCTTAAATCTCCTATCGAAAGCAGAACAGAAAAGACGCCAAGAAAGAAAGTGGGAGCTCATTATCAGTAGCAGTAGCAGTTTCTAAGTGTGGGTCAGTTGAGTTGTATCCTTTATACCACTTATTCCTCATTTCCTTAGATGTACTAATCGTACCACATCTTTTCATTTTAAGTGGAGTAGACAGACACTATTTTAGGTTTGTGTATGTTAGTTTAATTTCATCACATAAGTTGAATTTGAGATGGAAAACGAGGTACTTGAATTCGATATAGGTTTAGGAAGTGGAGCTGATGATGATGATGATGATGATGCTGTTGACATCGATATCGACGACGATTTGCCTTCCACTCCTCTCCTTCATCTTACCACTTCTCACAATTCTGCTTCCACTTCAGCTACTCGACTTTACCTTCCTGAGGGTGACCTTTCGGATCTTGAACCTTATGAGGGCATGGAATTCGAGTCTGAAGAGGCTGCCAAGGCCTTCTACAATTCCTACGCTAGGCGTGTTGGCTTTAGCACCCGTGTCAGCTCTTCCCGCCGTTCCAGGCGTGATGGAGCTATTATTCAGAGACAATTTGTGTGTGCCAAAGAGGGCTTTAGGAATTTGAATGAGAAGCGTACCAAAGATAGAGAGATCAAGCGCCCCCGTGTTATCACTAGAGTTGGTTGCAAAGCTTCCTTGTCTGTCAAAATGCAGGATTCTGGCAAATGGGTTGTCTCCAGTTTTGTGTGAGGACATAATCATGAGTTGGTCCCTCCCGATCAGGTGCATTGCCTCCGTTCACACAGGCAAATATCTGGCCCTGCTAAGACCTTGATCGATACGTTGCAGGCTGCTGGAATGGGCCCTCGTAGGATTATGTCTGCCTTAATTAAGGAGTATGGTGGAATTAGCAAAGTTGGATTTACAGAGGTCGATTGCAGGAATTACATGAGGAACAATCGTCAGAGAAGCATGGAAGGAGACATCCAGCTCCTTTTGGATTATTTGAGGCAAATGCAAAGTGAGAACCCCGATTTCTTTTATGCACTCCAGGGGGATGACGGTCAGTTTACGGGCAATGTGCTGTGGGCTGATCCAAGAGCCAGGGCAAACTACAGTTATTTTGGCGACACTGTTACTTTTGACACCACCTACAGGTCCAACAGGTACCGCTTGCCCTTTGCGCCATTCACTGGAGTGAACCATCATGGACAACCTGTTTTGTTCGGTTGTGCTTTCATATTGAATGAGACTGAAGCATCATTTGTTTGGCTGTTTCAGACGTGGCTTACAGCAATGTCTGGCCGTCATCCCCTGTCGATCACCACTGATCATGATGCAGTGATAAGATTGGCCATCATGCAGGTCTTCCCTGAGACCCGCCATCGGTTTTGCAAATGGCATATATTCAAGAAATGCCAGGAGAAGTTGTCCCATGTGTTACTCAAACATCCAACTTTTGAGGCTGAGTTTCATAAATGTGTTAACTTGACCGAGTTGATCGAAGAATTTGAATCCTCTTGGTTGTCGCTTGTTGATAGATATGAACTTCGGGATCATGAGTGGCTTCAAACTATATATTCTGATCGCAGGCAGTGGGTCCCTGTGTATCTGCGGGATGCATTTTTCGCTGAGATGTCTATAACCCAGCGAAGTGATAGCATGAACTCATACTTTGATGGTTACGTGAACGCTTCAACCAATCTGAACCATTTCTTTAAGCTGTATGAGAGAGCTATAGAGAGTCGGAATGAGAAAGAAGTTAAAGCAGATTATGATACGATGAACACAAACCCAGTTTTGAAGACCCCATCTCCAATGGAGAAACAAGCATCCGGGCTTTACACTAGAAAATTGTTCGTGAGATTTCAAGAGGAGCTAGTTGGGACGTTAACTTTCATGGCATCTAAATCAGAAGATGATGGGGAGAGCATTACATACCAAGTTGCTAAGTTTGGGGAGGATCATAAAGCTTACCATGTAAAATTCAATGTTTTGGAGATGAAGGCGACTTGTAGCTGCCAGATGTTTGAGTTCTCTGGTCTTCTATGCCGACATGTGTTGACAGTCTTTAGAGTGACCAATGTCCTTACTCTCCCATCTCGTTACATTTTGAAACGATGGACAAGAAATGCCAAGAGCAATGTCATATTGGAAGAGCGCCCTACTGATGTACATAATGGCTATCTTGAATCTCATACTGTTCGGTATAATACCCTACGCCATGAGGCCTTCAAATTTGTAGAGGAAGGATCCAAGTCCCTAGACACTTACAATGTGGCAATGGGTGTTCTGCAAGAGGCCACAACTAGAGTTGCACAAGCAACAAAGAATGAGGGGAGAGCTGGTGATGTCCATGGCCGTAATAAAGGGGACTCGGCAAGCAGTGGAATTAGGGCTAATTATACCAGCGGGAATCATCTGGGGATCTCTGGCCAACCTTTGTCTGAGGTTAGAATCATTTTTCATTTACCATGCTTCGTGCTTATCTATTTTCTTGCAATCACATGGTGTCAATTGATTTCATTTATTACTGTCTACTGCTTCATTTCTCCATAGACCTACTTGTATACACCATTTTTCTATGTTCATTTTCTGTTCTTTTTGCTCTCTTAATAAGTTGGTTTTCTGCTAAATGCTGAACTTTCTCACCTTCTCAATGAACCCAAAATTTTGATTTTAAAATTCCCATGAGCAGCATCTATTTAGTGATTGAAGGATACCCTCATCATGGTGATCACTAGAAAATTGTCTATCTTAGGCCTGTGTCCATCCATGTACACACAAGCTCAAAACTTGGAAACCTCTGTTAACATGACTAGTATTCTTCACCTATTTGAGGTTTTTGGCAGGGGTGTTTTTGAAGAGCCCCTGGTATTCCTTTTTAGCTTTTTATGTTAATACTAATTAAACATACATACATGTGATCATGGTAATTTAATTCAAAATGAGAATTTCGGTAGAACCATTAATTGATTGCATCCTAATTTTAGGAATTTCTAGAAGTTCTCCTGTACTCCTAAATGCCTGTATTGAGTTATTATTCTGAATAGATGTGCTGAATGAAATAAAATCCATGCATCAGGGAAATCTAAATCGCATGATATCCTAAATAAAATCACTTCATTTTATGGAATTGTTCGTGGATGTTTGGGAAAATACAAGGGAAAAAAACGCAGTTAAAGAATTTGTAACTCTACAAAAAAGTTTGACTTGAAGTCGTGAAGTACAGAGGAAAATTGAAAAAAGAAATACTGTACATTGAGCTTGTAAATACTTGAGAGTAAAAAACAACCTTGTACATCTAGCTTTTCAATGAGAAGGCATCTTGACCAGCATAAGACCAACGCATACTGTTTTTCAATTTATTGAAGGTTCTCTCACGGTATCCTTTGCATGACGGTTAGTGCCCTCATTTCTGATATGGCGTTGCAACAGAGGTATCTGTATTATGATGCTCTAAGGTCTGTTTTTAATTTTCCTTCTCATTTACCACTTTGCAGGAGGAGTTGGACAAGAAAATCCAAGAACTTAGAGATGAACTGGAGTATGCAAATCGAAAGTGCGAAGTCTACCGAGCCAACCTGCTTTCAGTTTTAAAAGACATTGAGGATCATAAGCTACAATTGTCAATTAAAGTACAGAGCATAAAGATTAGTATGAAGGGCAGTATCTGAAGGTGCAGTAGAGTTTTAGCATCTGGTTTCGTTTGTAATTTCTTCCCCTTTCCCTTTTCCTTCCCAATCATATGAAAGTCCTAGTATTTAAACTGTGTTGTGGATGGCTTTTGTTTTTAACCTTTTCAGTGCTATAGAGAATTTAGAGATTGTGAATAACTTTGAATTTATGTTCTCTTGTACAGTGCACTTACTATCTTGAGATCTATACGAGGAAGCAATGATTTCTTCAATTTTAGGCAGATGCATGGCCAAAAGTTCTGTAATATATTTACCCAGTTTGTTTTCCCAGAATGGGTTCAGCCACCTTACGTACTGTCACGTACAGGATCGGTCTTTGCTCTCTCTGAAGTACATTGCTCATTGGTGTCCTATATTTACGTTGGTTCATGTAACATGCACAGTGAATTTAATTAAGCATATGGCCGGTGGTTTTTAGTTGGGCATCTTTCTGGATTTGAGCTTGGGTCTGTCCGTCTACTTCCGAATCGTGATCCAAAGGTTAAGCCGGAGGCATTCACATGATTCGATTGCATCTATAGGAAGGTCTAGTGACCGTCCCATCTATTTATCAGATTGGCTCTGCAGGAGACATTTTATCAGCTACCCCCGAGGAGTGAAAAAATGACATTCCGAGGAGACCTCTCTAGAAGAACGTTTGTGTTTCGCATTTCCGTTGGATTAGTAACGCTCTGTATCCATAAAAGTTCTTAGGTATGCAGCATGTGTTTTGAGGATCATGCAGGAAAGTCTTTGACAGTGAACTCAAATAATACACCTCGTCAACGAGATCATAGCACAACCTAAGGAGCTCGTAAATTCTAAACTACAAAATGTAACGGCGGAGAAAACCCTACTACTGACTACCACCTAACACAATTCCCTGATGGTCTGTGGTCGCGGTTTCGGTGTAAAGATCTGGAACTTGGTAGTTGAAAAACAGACCCATAAAATTTAACCTTGCGCGCTATATTCATTCTTTCAAACTCAGCCTTGCGTTCTGCACCTTCACCGAAAGCTTTAACTTCTGTTCTTCCATATCTTTTAAAACAGCTAGCAAGTTTGCTCGGTACACTTCACAGCGTTGGTTGGTACCCTCCAACTCAGCAGTCAATTCACGGATTTTCTTTTGCTTCTCATCCTGGGCAAGGAGAATAATAAATTAGAACAAATACTAAATGGAAATACTGCTTAATGCATACACAATTACAGAAAAAATAAAATAACATATCAATCTTGTACATCGATCACAACCATAACAACATAATGTTGTTCGATACACGGCCGATGCTGCCTTAAAGGCAACACTCCTTTCGATGAGTTTGACACATACATAATGATAATAAGTAGAGTATGACATACTGCAGTTACCAAGCAGATCATTTACCGACAAAATAACAAAATTACCATATCGTGGGAAGGCAAACAAGGAAAAAGAAAAGAAAGATCAAGGATGCATTATTTTTCAATTTCCCTCATTCTTCATTTCCAGGCATGCACCGATTGCAATAAATTGTCAGTGGATTCAGAAGCAATATGCATAAACTGTCTTTTAACTAAGCAGAAGCTTCAAACTTTTCAGTTATTAAAGAAGGAAAGGCAATATAACATTAGTCTCCCTTCAATATAGGCAGTACTTTGACTTCTAAACTATTTATTTTGTACTTTGTATCTTCCTAAAGTCAACAGGTGAAATATTTTAGGGTTTAGCTAAAATTAAATGCAGCACAAATGTTACTATGGGATGTAATTAACTGGTCGTATGGGCTGAAAGAAAGCTTAACCATATCAAGTTACAAGCAGGAAGAAACTAACCACAGACTGAAATGTTGCCGATGTATTATCTTCAGCAACATGAAGCTCTTGACTACTTCCATTTGTCAGAGTTCCACCTTGTGTGCTTCCAGAGCCTCGATTCTTCACATCAGAAACTTTCTTAGCAGCTTCTTGTAGAGCATCCATCGCCACATTATAAATGTGAATAGATTTTGCCCCTTCTTCAACATATTTGATGGCTTCCTGGCGCAAGTTGTTATAGCGAACGGTTAAAGACTCGCGAGAATCGTTCGGCAATTCGGAAGCTCCTTCATCTAATACAGCTCTGCTCTTGACATTAGTTGTCCATCGTTTCAATACATATTGAGATGGAAGTGTGAGGACATTTTTTGCTCTAAAAACTGCTAATATGTGTCGACAAATGATTCCAGAATATTCAAACATCTGGCAGCTGCAAGTAGCTTTCATCTCAAAAGAATTGAAACAAACAGTGTGTGCTTTGTGCCCTTCCCCAAACTTCGCCACGCGATAGGTGGTGATGGTTCCTGAATCGTCAATTTTTGTTGCAGGATTAGCAAGGGTCTCAACTAATTCATCTTGGAATTTCATGAATATTCTTCTAGTGTAGAGGCCAGCGGCTTGTTTTTCCATAGGAGAAGGTGTCTTTAGAACTGGTGTAGTGTTAGTAGTGTCATAGTCTGCTTTTAGTTCCTTTTCATGCCAACTTGCTAAAGCCTTTTCGTATTGTTTGATCAGCATTTGTATGGTGGTTGATGCACTCACATATCCATCAAAGAATGAATTTAAACCTCCACTTCCATCAGTTACTGACAACTCTCCAAAAAAAGTGTCTCGCAAATATACCGTGACCCATTGCTGTCGAGCATTGTACATCGACTGAAGCCATTCATTGTCCATGACGTAGTATCTTTGCAGAAGGGATTGCCAAGATGATTCAAACTCATCAATTGTCTCAGTCTCATTAATGCACTTCTTAAATTCAGTTTCAAACATGGGATGAGAGCGATAAATATGAGCCAGTTTTTCTTGGGTTTCTCTTAGTATGCCCTGCTTAGAATACCGATGGCGAGTCTCGGGAAGAATTCGTGATACAGCAGTCTGAATGAAGTGATCTGGATCGGTTGTGATAGAGATAGGCTGTTTACCAGACATAGCACGAAGCCAAGTTTGGAAAAGCCAAATGAAAGACGACTCAGAGTCATTGAGAATGAGAGCACAGCCGAACAAGACAGGCTGGCCATGGTGATTGATTCCCGTGAAAGAGGCAAACGGCACCCTGTAACGGTGTGTCCTGTATGAAGTATCCAAAAAAACAGTATCTCCAAAGTAATTGTAATTCATCCTGGCAGTGGCATCAGCCCAGAATATGGTTCCTCCTCCAGGCAAGTGATCAGTGTCGGGTTGAGTTGCATAAAAGAAAGCAGGATTCTCAGATTGCATTCTTTTTAAATAATCCAAGACATGATGCTGACCCCCACCCCCGAGGGACCTGGGTCTGCCACCGCTCATCTTCTAACTAAGTAGAAGAAAAAATCCATAAATTACGGTGGATGTGGCTGTTGTTGTGGTTGTAGGCAGCAAAGAATAATAATAATAATAATAATAACAAAAAAATAGAAAAAAAAAAGAGTGAAATGAAAACCTAACATAGCATTTCTTACAGGCCAGTTTCAGACAATAGAATTGGTACTACAAAATTAACAACAAGACTGTTCCTTTCCATTCTTTAATAAACGAACAAATAATTAGTTATAAAAACAAAGAATTTATAGGGTAGGCATAGGCAGAGAGAGGTAGCTAACCTGGCCAGAAGTGGGTTTGAGAATTGGAAACAGAAACTGCAATCGAAGCGTCTTTTTTCGCTTTTTCCTTCTTCACTTCACTTTCCTGCTCAGTGGCGGACTGCAAATTCAAAGGCAAACGCAGGAGGAGCTCACATCACACCAGACCACACCACGCTTCTTTAATATCACTTCTCTTTTGTTTCTTGCAGCGCAGACTCGCAGGCGTTGCTAATAGGAGGATGGGCTTGGCAACGTTTCTCGCTGTCTGTCCACACTATAGATGTTTGCTTGGTTCTTACTTTTGCCCATGTCAATCTTGGGCTTGCAAAATATTATAGCTAGGCTAGCTCAGAGATACCTCGAATGGAAGCCTGGTAAATTAACCCTAACTTTAGGCCTGGGTTTGTGCTGGAATCCGAGAAATTAATGGCTCTTCCACTTATCCTAATTTAATTAATTAAAACATTTAATCTTTTTTTTTGTGTGTGTTTTTGCAAACGTTTCAAATTTTTTATTTAATCATATTAATTATTATTTGAACTTGTGAATTTTCTTCTTCTAATCAAGTGTTATTTCTAGAGTTTGACATTGATATGCCAGCATTTCATTTCATTTTGCTCCCATCCATGTATTTATATTTATTTATTTATTTGAGTATTTGTAATTTTGAGAATTTATTAATGTATTAATCTCAAGATATACTGTATTTGACCAAAATAACTACAATTAAAATAATAAAATATTTTAATAATTTATTTAAATTAAAAAAGCAATAAAAGACATAATTAATTAACTAGGTAATTAAGAAAAATAAAAAGAATAAAATAACTAAAGAAGATTCAGGATTTTGATGATGTTCAGTGTGGATACACATATTGATAAATGAGATCAAATAATTTATTAATAAATTACAGTATGTGTAAATTATATAAATTAAAATCAAATCTGTTGCCTAATGAATTAATTTGTGTTTAATATTGTTAATTTTGAGAAAATAATTAAATTTTTTTTCCTTTTACAGTCTGTGGAAGAGATTTACTTGGTTTGTCAGAAAGTGTATGGAATTGAGTAATTTATCTTCTCTTCATCTTTATTTTTAACCCTTCAAATTGTTGTTATTATTAATTTATAATTTTAATTTATTTAACTCAATCATATATTAGAGATATAATAGCGCGAAGTGGAGATTTGTTAGCTTTTAAAATTTCCTTCGCCGTGTCTGCTCTGTTACAAAGAGCACAGCACAGTGCAGTACTCCCCTTTAAACAGGCAGCGATCGAGCGACTTGCCACCAAAATCAGCACTTACAATTTACATGAATGCATTACAGTTTACATGCATGCATTCATGCTGATGCTCCACAATGTGTAAGGGAAAGCAATACACGTAGCTAGGCCTGGATCGATGATGTCGCGATGCTTGATCTGTCTTCCCAGTCGCGATTGTTTAGTTTAATTATTTGCTTTTGCTATCTCGTCTTCAGAAAGCAGCAACATTCAAGGGTCAAAAGAACTAAAGAAGAAATAAAAATGAAAAGTTGAAGGTGAAATCCTGCCTACGTACCTTAATTTGTGCATGCTATATGTATATTCTTTCCCCTGAAGCACGTATACTGACGAGTCAGTTTGCGAACGATCGATGACCTGCAGAGTCTCAATGAAATTGAGAACAGGGGAGGAAAATACTGGCGCCATGGCACTGTGCATGGCCTGCGTACCTCTACTGCTAATCTTTTTCTTCATGAAATGCAAGATTTGAATTAGCAAAGTGTGAAGGCTAAGGTAAAGGCCGAGGGACCCTCGAAATAGGAGAAGGTACAGAACTCGCACTTTTCCTGTATGTATCAGCCTGCCTGCATCGCTTTATCTTATCAATGAGGACAGCATAGATTTGATTTTCTTTAGAATATAATGTCTGCAGGTGTACGTACTTGGTGTCGCCTGAATCTTTCAGACAACCTTCTTTTCTTTCTCTCATTTAGTACTGCACGGAAAATCTACACACACTAGATTTCTGGCGTCCTCTCCGCGGCGGGCCGGCCAGATTTTTTTCTTGACATAAAAAATAAATGTTCTGACAGAGATAAGAAGAAGAAGAAAAAATGTTCAAGGGGTAATTCCATCGGTGTTTTGGTGAAAAATAATTTTCTTAGTAGATTTGGTTTTTTTATTTTATTTTAATAAATGTTCTGCTGATTAATTGATTAATGAGTAACACCCTAAAATCTTTCTAGCCATAAGATTTCATTTAATTAATTTGAAAGTAGTCTTTAAATCACATATATATCAAGAAAAGAATGTGTGATATTTGATATATTAAAACATAATTAACTAAACATGTATGCATATATTTTTAATATCGGCCTAATATTCCATATATATAATTATCAATCCTTGAGTTTTAATATGAATCAAGTAAATAACTTCACTCCCACAAGAGAATGTTAAAATTCATTTCTTTCTACGAGGCATTAATAGACCCTACTATATGAACAACACCCCACCCCACCCGGGCGTTCTTTGGCATTAGATTCCGGCCAGCTTCTGCTCGACAAGAGCTTTTATAATTTGTTGTATAAACTACTACATCCAAGTTATTCTCTACTAGTGGAACTTAAGCAAAGTATCAACCTGTGGTCTATCTAGATTTCAATTAGACTGTAGAAATATTATTCCATTATTTTCATCTTTTTAAAAAGTTTAAAGAAGCAGCCTGTACATAGCCTTCTAACACACACACACACACACACACACACACACATATAGACAATCACCACTTCCTTTCTAACACACACACACACACACACACACACACACACACACACACACACACACACACACACACACACACACACACACACACACACACACACACACACACACACACACACACACACACACACACACACACACACACACACACACACACACACACACACACACACACACACATATATATAGACAATCACCACTTCCTTCTTAACAGAAAAGGTCCAGAAAGGGGATGAAATTAGTTAAAGAAATCCCATGAAGATTAGTGACAGAGAAATCAGCCATCCCATCCACCCACAGCACAAGCTAGAACTTGAATACACAGAAATCCCATTCACTTGTGATGGTTGCAAGGAAGCTGGCATTGGTCTCAAATACAGTTGCCGGCAGAAATATTGCAATGATCAATTTGATCTGCACAAGGTATGTGCTGTGGCGCCTCCTATCATCAACAATTCCTTTTACAAAAAATGCGTTTTCGAATTTCACCATCACCCTCCAGGTGAGGAGAAGAGGGTATGCGATGCATGTCGAAATGAAGTTCTAGGCTTCGTCTACCACTGCAAGCGATGTGGATTTGATCTCCATCCTTGTTGTGCAAACCTCCCTCAAGTTCTAGACGATGGTGAGCACAATCTTTACCTGTGTCTCAAGCTCTCCGGGGCATGTCATCGATGTGGGGGCAAAGGACCAGGGTGGTCTTACAGGTCTCGCTGCAAAACGTATAATCTTCATCTGTCATGTGTCAAGGAGTTGCTGGTGGAGAGCTGGGAAGCCATGTATCTCAAAGTGGATCAGAACAAGGTCAGAGAGATACAGACTAGGATCCCAAGCCTCAAGATGACACTGGCAAACCATCATGGAGAAGCAAGAGGTGGAAAGGTTAAGAAGTGCTGTCAGATGGCTGGTGGTGCCATTCGCCTTATTGTCTCAGCTATCCTGGGAGATCCTACCGCTATAATCGCTGCAGTCGTCGGGGGTTTCATATCCAAGTAATTCAAGCATATATGGCTGAGCAAAAAAAGTAGACCAATATTTATATATACACTACAATATGTTAAATCATTGTTCCTTGTTCCTTGCTAATACTCATAATTAATGCTCGTGTGTTTGGTTTGTTACCCTTAATTACCTGTCTGTACTGTGTGATATATATATATAGTGAGAGATTTGAAATTTCCTTCCCCCCTCCTTCTTGGAAAGTATATCCATTATAAATCTAAATCTATATAATGTATACACAAAAACCGAGTTAGGAATTTTTCCTATTTTATCTTTCAAGATAAATTATTAACTCATGTGTGTGTATAAGTTAAAATGATGTTTCAATCCAAATAAATAACATAAAATGTAAAAATAATAATAATTTAAAGTACGTAAAATTTAAAAAAATAATAGACATATTATAATAATTTTTATAATAAATCATATCAATCTAATAATACTCTAGTTAAGATATCAAATTATCCATTTCTTAGCAAACATGTAAATAACATCAATTTTAAATGAGTTAAAATTATTTTTATGTTCCAAAATATAGCTAAATGCATGAGTTTTACTATCCCATCATTGAATCTAAAATTTAAATCTTCCAATTGAAAATCTATTATTGAGTTAAATATATCATAATGATAATGTTGATAAATTATCATTGATCCTTGTTATAGGCATAAACAACCTATAACTTTTTAATATAAAGCATTCATACGTAGTATATCAATCTCATATTGTGTACAAATAGATTGCACATATGCAAAGAAAAGATTATATCATCTCTCAAAGTTTAAAGCAATACTTTAGTAATTGATAATTCATTGTATTTAAGATGTCAAGAGATTTTTGCTGCAACACTTGACAAAATAAATCAATAATTTCTATTATTTCATACATCAAATATAAAATAAATATAAATTCAAAAGATTTTATCACAATCAAACAACCATCAACTTCTTCACATATAGAGTTAGAAGATCCTTCTTGAACCATACTTTAAAGTATAAGTTGCACTATACATATCTATTAAGCTGTAAATACAATCAAAACGAGAGCTTCATTAAGTAGTTCCTCTTCAATGTAAATTATCGATTTAATTAGCCCATTAATTAGTCTTGCATTCTGTGGTAGCTAAAACTCTAATTTATAAAAATATACAAATCTAATTATTTGTATTTAGAATTTATGTGGTTTTTAATAAACAACAAATGTAGTTTTTTTTATTGAATTTTGGGTTATTGAAAAATTTATGTGATTGTCTCATGATCGATTACTAAAAATCAAGGTAGGTGGGCTATTGAATTTTTTATAATCTATGTTTCTTTTACCTATGCTATAGCCTCATAGTTTACGTGATTGTCTCATGACCAATTATATCATAACCTTCTTTACTTCTTCATCCTTATGTATACATCTCTATAAATATTTTAAATATTTATAAGTATTTATCTTTTTAACAAGAAATTGGAAACGTCTCATCTTCCTAGATTTTATCTCTCTAAATAATTTAAGTTTCAAAAATACAAGTTTAATATAAAATTTATATAAATAAAATTTAAAAAATATTTAAGTTTATAAAATATTTATTCTCACCCGTCATTTAAATAAATACTATATTTACTTAAATTTTAAAGTGTTTTTCTTACCTTATCCCGCAAATGAAAAATGCTCCCAATCTTTCTACAGCCTCGTCGCACATGCTTTTCAAGAGGCCATTGAGGAATGGAAATTTCACGTAGAAAATGTATACATACATATTGTAAACACACGCAAATGTACGCGCTACGGTCAAAATAATAAAAATAAAATATCCTTTCCTCTTTGTCTGGAAGGTTATTACGAGGGTAATCGTGGTTTTTGCATGCCTGGTATGCATTATCATGGAGAGCAAAAGTCAAACAAGATTCCTTCAAAAATCTAAGCTAGGACCTTCCGCGTAGCGTATTGGCGTGCCTTGCACAGAAACTTCAATGAAATATGAACAGAATGACAGGATGCGATGTTTCTCCTCCTCTCTGCAGGCATGAAATTGTTGACTCTTAACTACATGCCAAGGTGCTTCAGCTCTGAAACTTAAACGCTGCTAGACGGTCAAACGGGATTATCCCAATATTCCTTGGACACCAAACAAAAGAAGGAAATATATATGGATGTATGTATGTGCGGACCGATAAAATCTTTCTCGGAGAGCTAATGCTTTATTTGGGCAATCGACGATCTCCCAATTTCAAAGTGATGACCGTAAACGCGGGCGGACCTTAACGAGAAGAAGCAGTCAAGCATCCCCTGTTGTAATCTCCCTGTGATTTCTCCATATTCATTTCCAAACTGGCTTCTATATGCGTGTGTGTGTGTGCAAGAGTGAAGAAAGTAATTAAAATTCTCATTTCATCCCCGTCTTTCTTTCTAATGAATCGTACGTACAGCTAGCGACAACAAATGGCTGCCCAGAATCCATATTCGATCATCCCTCTCCTCATTATTATGTTATTCAACCTTGCACATCTAGCTTTCACAGACAACATGTCGTCATTCACTTTTGAGAGATTTGTTGATGATGATCATGAGAAGCTCCTGAGTTTCAGAGGCGATTCATCTATCTATCTTGAAGCTCTACAACTTACTCCTGAGACCCCCAATGATGCTCATAGTTGGAAACAAAAAAATGCATCTGGCCGCATCATGTATCATAAACCTTTCAGGTTCTGGATCGGTGATGGTGGGGACGAGTACAGATTAGCCTCCTTCAACACCACCTTTGTCATTAACATTTACAGAGAAAGAGACTGGGAGGCTGGTAGTGGCCTGGCTTTTCTTATAGCTCCAAATGCTAGCATACCCGAAGCAAGTTACGGGCAATATCTAGGCCTGACCAATGCCTCCACTGATGGTAACACTGCAAACCACTTTGTGGCTATAGAGTTTGACACGGAAAAGCAAGATGACATCGAAGATCCAGATCATAACCATATCGGGTTCAATATCAACTCCATTCGGTCAAAAAATGCCACCTCTCTAGACAAATATAACATCACACTCTCTCCTGATCCACCAGGAGTTAACTACACTGTTTGGGTTGATTATAACGGCACCTCCAAATTGATGCAGGTGTACATGGTGAAAGAAGGAAATCAAAAGCCTGGAGAGCCTCTCTTGAACGAGACCATAGACCTCAAAGAGTACCTGAAAAAAGAATCCTACTTTGGTTTTGCTGCTTCCACTGGTGATCCACGGATTGAATTAAACTGTGTGCTGAAATGGAGCTTACAGATAAATAATCAACCCGATGAGAAAAATGATGAGAAATGGTGGAAGATTGCTGCTGGGGTTTGCGTCTCAGTAGTGATGATAATCTTTATATTTGTGGTATGTGGAGTTGTTTTTGTGAGGAAAAGGAGATCAAAAGCAAGTCTAGAGGAGGCCACAGAGTTTGATACTTACATCTTGAAATGGTTGCCTGGGATGCCAAGAGAGTTCAAGTACAAGGAGTTGAAGAAGGCTACCAGCAATTTCCATGAAAGTTTGAAGCTCGGGGAAGGAGGATTTGGGATCGTTTATAAAGGCGTCCTGCTCCTCAATGATAAGGCTGATGATGGTACTACTACCACGATTACTGAAATTGCTGTCAAGAAATTCTCCAGAGACAGCATAAGAGGCAAAGATGATTTCTTGGCCGAGCTAACCATCATTCATCATCTTCGCCACAAAAATCTCGTCCGCTTAGTGGGTAATTATCGAATATTTTGGTTCTTATTCTTTCTTTTGTCTAATCATTTTGCATAAAATTTAAGTCCATGATCTCGTTCATTGGATAAGCACTTGGCTATTCGAATTATTTAATTTGAATGGACCACCAGATATTTCGATTGCATATTAATTGATTGCATTGTCAAATATAACAGTGGGGGGGCTGTTGAGTAAACAAGCAACAGTAGTCAAACCCACATGCTTCCCTCTTGCAATTCCTTGCTTCAAATTTCCTTTTTTTTCCCTAATTTTCTTCTGTTCATAGGTCACACAGTACTATACATATACCAGGTCTAGAAAAATAAGAATTAGTTTAGTGTTATGTTGACATAGTAAAGCATGAAAGGAAAGATATATCGCTGCCATTAATATTTCACAGGCAAGGCAAGGCAATGACCTTGTCCTATGATTTTAAATTAATGTTGTATCTCATCTTGTTTAGCATTAGCATGCAATTCGCAGCAAATCTGTCTTTCTTTAGAAAAACGAACTACAGCAAGAACGACTTTATAACCTCTGTCTTTGTTCAGGGTGGTGCTATGAGAAAGGGAAGCTTCTATTAGTTTATGATTTCATGCCAAATGGCAGCCTGGAGAAACACCTACAGAAGGGTCCAGAGCAGGACACTCTAAATTGGAATCGTCGCTACAGGATACTTGTAGGGGTTGCATCGGCATTACATTACCTGCACAATGAGTATGACAAGAAAGTTGTCCACAGAGACATCAAAACCAGCAATATCCTACTTGACGCGGACTTTAATTCCCGCCTAGGTGACTTTGGCCTTGCTCGAGCCTTGGAAAATGAAAAGAATTCATATAATGAGCTTGGGCTAGGTGGAGTTCCAGGTACCATGGGTTATGTTGCTCCAGAATGTTTCCACACGGGCAGGGCTACCCCTGAATCTGACGTGTTTGGTTTTGGAGTGGTGGTTCTTGAGGTTGTGTGTGGTAAAGGTCCAGGGACAAAGATCCATCACAACCAGCATCTTTATTCTATGGTTGATTGGGTCTGGACCTTACATCGTGAGGGACGCATACTAGAAGCTGTAGATGAAAACCTCAGTAACGATTTTGTGCACGACGAGGCTAATAGACTATTACTACTGGGATTGGCTTGTTCTCATCCTATCGACAGTGAAAGGCCTAAAACAGAGACCATAACCCAGATCGTATCAGGAACTTTGCCTCCGCCTCACGTACCTCCAATCAAGCCTGCCTTCACTTGGCCTAGCATGAGCACCACTGACAGCACAACTGGTTCCCTCTCCAGCATGACATCATCTTCTCGAAGTTACGCCAGAACACAAAGTGGAATCAAATTGCGGAGGACTACGTCAAGTCTCCGAGTTTAGATCCTAATCTCTGAGCTTCCGTATTCTTGGGAAAGCTACAAAGTTTCTGCTTAAGGTAGCACGCCGTCCTAGTTTTTCCAATGGCATTGTTTTTCTGCCTAGCAATTTTTTCTGCATTTCCAGAGATCATGCTTCTTATTGATCTAGTTTTTGTAATTTTCGTGTCTTACGTTACTGCGCTAGATCTTCATTTTCTAACAATCACCCTACAGTCCTGTTGATCTATACTTGTTCTTATAATAATGAGGAATCAAAACACTGTAATCACGTGCTTGATTTCCAGGAACTGTTGTTTGGCGTAGTTTAATAGCCGCCATTTCAAACATTACTGTAAAGAAAACAATAAGATTGCAGTACATCAAGTCCATATCAGTTAGCAAGCATCTTGTGATCGATGTGCCTGAATTGATTAAAATTGATAATGCTGGATCAGATCATTAACAAATACACGTCCTGTTTTAGTAAATTTCAAACGAATGGAAAAAAAATCGAGTTCCCATTGATCTGCATCCTCATAAGAGTTGAATTCGGTCTAAAGATGAAGTTCAACTAGAGTGCAAGAATAAACAAATATCTCAGGCAGATCCTTGAAGCAAGGCATACTTCATCAGGAACTTCTTTTGATTACAACCTAGCATATCGCTCAAGCTACAATCTAGTTTCCTCTGTTTCAAAAGTTTGTGCCTTGACTCCAAGGTCTTCTTCAAACCATGCTGAAAGAAGTTGGGGTAATCAACAACTTCATCTATTTGCCTTCCCATTACTTCCACCAAGAACTTGATATGAGGTTCCAGTGAATTCTTGATACTCTTTATCAAAATAGGGGGATAACCAGTCACCAAAGCTGCAATTTGTCTATCATTAAATCCACATCTCCTTAGATAAGCAAAATTGGGTTTCAGAATCTTGTTGACATCTCTACAAAGAACTTCGGGGAAGTTCATGACCACCGTTTGAAGATCCAGCTCTGTCAGTCCAACTGACTTGAGAAAATCTGAAGTGGGGCGTAGCCTCTTTTCAACGCTATAACCTGTTATAAAGGGGTGTTTCACCAAGACTTTACCAATCATCCCATCTTTGGTAAGGCCAAGAGAAGTGAGAAAATCAACAATTTCTTTGAGCTTGGAATCAATGCTGTAGCTGACGAGCCTTGGGTTGAGCAATAAAATCCTGCCGAGTTGCTTTTCAGGGACCCCTATTGCCTGAAAGAATGCCAAAAGGGGGCAGAGCTTCTCTTCAACACTATGAGACAGTATGTGAGGGAACTTGGTAATGGCGGAAGCAACTTCACGAGGTTTAGAACCGAGGGTAGCCAGACACTCAACCATGGGGATGAGCTTCTCATTGAGACCAAGAGTAAGTATTTTGGGACACTTTGAAATAATTGAAGGGAGCTTTCTCTCTTGAATGCCAATGGTTTTCAGGTAAGCCCAGTTTTCAGATGCCCTATCCCTCTGGGTGTCTTGCAGCCGCTTGCACTTGCGGAACATTTCATGGATGGTGTTATCATCAAAACCTCTATCCCTGAAGAACCAGAGGAGGCTGCTATTACCATTTTGAGAGGTAGCCATTTCCATATCGGCTGAGAAGAAAAGAAGCGATTGTAATTATTATAAGAGTATAGTAGAGGGGCGAGAAAACAGAGAGAAGGGGAAATGAATAAGAATATCAAGGGATGAAGAGAACATTAGAAGACATGAGCAAAGGACTCGAATGGTGCAGTGTGGAAGGCCGTGAGGGGGTTGAAGATTAACTGGAGAGCCTGGATTGTGCTGGCCTCGCCGAGGCTGGTAGTTTTAGCATTGCAATGCAACAAACATGGTAAGTAATAGCAATTACTAAAAGTTAAAGCATCTGATATGAGAATGGTGTTTGTATCGATTATCCTTTTGGGTGTATGGTTTTACTATTACTTTACGTTATTTACTTTATAACAGGTCAATTGCAGTTGAATTGAAACAAAGAGAAGGCAGATAAGCGATGTTTTAAGAGGAAAGAATCAAGTAATTTATATGAAATGGATGGTGTCAGACAGCTCTCTGACTGTCGATGAACACGGCAATAACTTAAGAGGATTTAAGCCAAGGATGATGAAACAAGTAATATAACGAATTCCCATTCCAATTCCATTTCGCAGCGCTACATCTGAATAATAAATCAAATAAAAAGAAAAGACAATAATATGGAGATGAAGACGAGAGAGCGGCCTGACCTTGAAAGCAGGACATGAACAAGTTTATCACTCAAACTGTGAGTGTGTGAGGGCAGGGGAAGGGAGGGGAGGGGAGGGGAGCAGCGCAGCTTTTGATTTCCCTTAAAAAATAGTAATTCCTGAGCTTGCACTTGCCTTATCTTCTTCTTCTGCGACTGTTTCTGGAACAGCAGGAGCTCGTATTTCTATTCCAGCCAACCTGTAGTCCGCTACTACTACTCTACTAGTAGCAGAACAGGCCCGGCCCGGCCCAAGGATTAGGATTTGGAAAGTACAGCAATAGCCCTTGCAGTTCATATGAAAATACCAATTTCGCCTCCTCGCTTCTTATCTGGTTCGTTTTGTAATGTTCGTTGTCAAAAACCCTAAAAATAAAATTAAAACCCCCCCCCTCTCTGTCTCTCCTCAAAATCAAATCGAATCAATCAATCCATCCGGGAAATGGCATCATCATCATCTCAATCTCGAGTCTTGAAGCTACTACATTCTCACTCACACACCTCTCTGTCACAAATACTGCGTCGTTTCTGCAGCTCCGTTAAAGGATCAACTACTGGTGCTACTTTCAATTTCGATGATGAAAAAGAGAGGAGATTGCAGAACCAGAACCCTCCGGATCCCATACCGAATAGGCCTTTAAGAGGTGAGAGACCTAACCTTAACAGTAATCATAACTCTGGCAATATAGGAGGGGGAGGACCTAACCTTAACAGTGATCATAGCTCTAGCAATAAAGGAGGAAGAGGACCTAAGTTTAACAAGAACACTAACAGACCCGCCCGCCCCCAACCATCTCACCCTCCCTCAACAACCTCTCCTTTTAATCTTCAACCCCAGACCCAGACTCATGATTTTAATCGTATCTCTGATGATGCTTTTCTCGATAAATTCAAGCTTCGTCCTGACCATAACAACAACGTGAACAAGGATGCTGCCGCTGCTGATACTAAGGCTGCTGCTGCTCCTCTTCCTCCCAAAAATGAACAAGGAAACAGCGCCTCCACTTCCGAGCCCTCACAGGATGCTGAACAAATCTTCAACAAGATGAAGGAAACTGGGCTCATCCCCAATGCTGTCGCCATGCTTGATGGCCTTTGCAAAGATGGCCTTGTCCAGGAAGCCTTGAAACTCTTCGGCACTATGCGCGAGAAAGGCACTATCCCTGAAGTTGTTATTTACACTGCTGTTGTTGATGGCTTTTGCAAAGCCCACAAGTTGGATGATGCCAAGAGGATTTTCAGGAAAATGCAGTCCAATGGCATCACTCCTAATGCTTTCAGCTACGCTGTATTGATTCAGGGACTCTCTAAATGTAACCTCTTTGATGATGCCATCGACTTCTGTTTTGAAATGCTGGAGCTCGGTCACTCTCCCAATGTTACCACCTTTGTTGGATTGATTGATGGCTTGTGTAGGGAAAAGGGAGTCGAAGAAGCCAGGACTGTTATTGGAACATTGCGCCAAAAGGGATTCCATGTTCATGACAAAGCCGTTAGAGACTTTTTGGACAAAAACAAACCACTTTCTTCCTCTGTTTGGGATGCTATTTTTGGGAAGAAACCTTCACACAAACCTTTTTGACTTTTCTTTGTGCTATTGTAATGCTTTGCAAGTTTTCTTTTCTTATTGTCTTCCTCTACTCTGTATTTTTGGCTCTCGCCTATGCGTTTCAGGCGAGGCGAGGCACAGCGCCTTTATTAGCCTCAGGCGTTGGATTTCAATGAAGTGAAGCCTAGGCGACCGCCGACGGCATTAAGCCTTGTATCTGCTTGAAGTTTTTCTTTTTCGGTAGGTTTTTTTTTTAACTTATTTATGTTTTGATCTATTTATCTATTTTTTCACTTGATATTTAATTTTGTTTTTTAATCCATATGGCTTACTACTTTAAATTATTATTTTTGGTTATAAGAGTGAAAAATATAACTTTATATGATTATATTATAATATTTTATATTTTCTTGATCTAATCTCAACTAGTAAGATATATATTTTAGATTTATATGATATAATATAATATTATTATTTTTTTAATTTATAGCATATCTAATGCATTCTGTACTTGTGATAATCACTTGCAAACAAAGCAACCTCAGTAATTTGTACAGAAAAGATTAAAAGAATACAAGAAAAAAAGGAAATCTCAAAATTTTATTACAAATGCAGAATTATATGGATAAATAATAAGTAGTTTCACACCACTCAGGGAATCTCTTTCACATTCTGTTTTCAGGCACTGAAAACAGATCAAAATAATCATTTAGGGTACCATACAATCATGAAAAGCATCATAATCAAACTTCCCGATGAAGTCGCATGCTTTCACTTTTATTCTTTTAGTGAGTTCATCCAAAACCCTCCCATTTTCAGAGTTTATCCCCGCCCAAATGTTCTTCCTCTTTATCTTCATCTCCTCCCCCATCTTCTATCTGATTTTCCCCTTATTTGACCCTCCAAACATTTCTATGTTTCGCAAAGTACGAGTAACAAGTTGCATCTGTTGTTGTTACTGGTAAAACATGGAGGCATGGTCATTTTGTGGTGATGTTTATTGTGGAGGATTCAGGTTAGGAAGGAGCAGGATCCTGCAATCCTTCGTTTGTAGGAGTGTCCACTCTGAGTATCTGGCATAAGAGGAACAAAGAATTCCCAACCTGCTTTGATACCAAATAATGCCAGCAACATTGTGGACTCGTGATAATCACTTGCGAACAAAGCAATCTCAACAATTTGTACAGAAAAGATTAAAGGTTTAATTTTATCACCACCTCCGCTCATGGAATTACAAATCTCTAACAAATAGTTTTACAATTAACTGTCACTTGATACTTGAAATAGTTTTTGACCATTATATTAACAATTACAAATCTCTAACAAATAGTTTCAAATCTCTGCTTTGTGGCATGCTACATGTAGAATTACCATCTTCAAACAATATACGCTTGCAATATATTGCATTTGTAACGTGAAAGATATTCAAGGCATTATGAATTTGTGATTAATGCTGGCTTGTACTTTGGGGTGGGTAATATTAGTTCATGAACTTGTTGTAAGCCATAAATTTTGACCATGTGGTATGGATTCATGATATAAATTTGTTGAACGACAAAGTCGAGAAACCAAATGAGTGTACATGCAAAAGACGATACCTCCTAACTCGTTACTCTACAGAGGTAAGGTGAGAAGACAAGACTGGGGCGGATCCTGAAGGCTGTGCATGCAAAAGATCATCTTGCAAGACTTCTAATTGTTAGTGTGTTCCTTTGGGGGTGGATTGCAGCAATCCCAACAGAACTTGCAAGTGCTATGATGGACAAAAAAAAGAAAGAGTTTGAATAGACGAAAGCATGGAGTTGCAGAGAAGATGGGTCCCGAGGGCTGTACATGCACCAAAGGCTGGATTTGCAAGACTCTAAAATGGGAATGTGGTGGATACAAGGTCGATTGAAACAAGAGTGATTTATGCATATACAGAAGAAGCATAGAGCGCCAAGATGATTCATGCTTGAATGTGCAGAAGCATAGAGTTGCAGAGCCTGCAGGTGAGACTGAAATCTGGACTTTAAAATCACAAGTTAGTTATAAAACTGAGTTAAAATCTTGATTTAATCAGAAGGTATAATCTTTTAACTTTGGACTTATGGGTTATAATAGAAGAGATTAGGGAATTGGAGGAGGAAAATGCTTGTTTTTACTCGTAATAATGAGCAGTCTGATGCATCTGCCACCTTATTTCATCAGCCAAATTCTTAATTCTTATAAAATCTTGAAAGAGATCCTTTTCAGATTTGGTCGGCCTTTATTTATCTTTTTCTATCCGCTTCACGTCAAACAGGTCCTCCGGCTTCGGCCATCTCCCCTTTCCATGTTATAGACTCCCAAAAAAATAAAAATAAAATAAAAAAATCCATATTATAATGCTGATCGGGTTGAGTCCATCTATTGACTCACGAAACTCGTATTCAAAATAAAAAATAAAAACTCAACAAACATTATTTAAAAAATTGAATTTGATTTCGAATAGCTACGTTTCGAAGAATTAAGGATGCCATTCGCATGTTCTTTTACATTGACTTCTTCGTTTTTTTTCTTTTAAAATAAATAAATAAAATTACATTGATGATAGTCTGACATTTATATAAATAGTAAGAGTCGAGGAGCCTATTGCGGAGCAGTTTGGGTTTGGCACAGCTTTTATCAGCTATAAAATATCATTTCTAAGATAAGAACCAAGTGTTAGGAGAGTCCCGATGAGTTGTTCTTGCTGTTAAAAATTATTTTTAAATTTTTAATTTCTAATTAATTTTTAAAATTTTTTAAATTATGTTAATATATTAATATAAAAAATAAAACTAAAATATAATTTTAAAAAAGATGAAATGATTTGAAAAATATCAATTTTATATTCAAGAAAGGGTTATTTGTTAACATGCAGCCAAGAGAGAAGTTTATAATAATAATAATACTAATTAATTAATTAAAATCCCAAGAAGTGAAATAATTGAGGACCAGGCAGAATGTGGGGTCGGCGCCGGCCCATCAACCCCGCCGTATTCAGGACATAAGTTGCGACACACTCACTTATGCAAATCTAATGTACACTGTATGCATGTGATGACGTGTGGACTTTTAATTTATTTTCCTTTCTCCTTGCCAATTATCAATATTAATTAATAAACACATAAAAGAATCGACACTCTCCAACTTCCGGAAGTTAGGAGTCTTAATTCTAAATAAATTATCACCATTGACTCTCTTTCTCTCTCTCTCGCAGCCGGTTGTTCTGCCTATAGATACTGAATGGATCTCTTCCCTGCAGATACAGACTGATAATCAGCAACACATACACAAAGTCAATCAATCAAGAGGAGGAGAAACAAGAGCAGCCGTTGAGTTATCTAGCCAGGGGCAACGATATGATTTCAGTACTGATGTGTTCTCACCAGTCTTCAGGTATATGCATGGCGACGATTATATTTTACACGTGCATTCTTATCCCGCTCCGTCAAATTAAACAGACTCTATATAGTACCGTAGTACTACTCACTAGTAGCAGTAGCAGGCTTGAGCCAGTAGAGAATATTGAGTATTGTAGCAGCCGTCGGAGGTCTCAGCAGCGGCGGCTTCTAGTGGCCTGCAGGTTTGAGAAGGTGCAGAAGGAGGACGTGTCCTGTTCCATCTGCCTTGTGGAATTGGAGAAAGAAGATGCGGTGAGCCAGCTCTCAAGGTGTATGCACGTCTTCCATACGGATTGCATTGACAAATGGATTCAGCGTGATCATTTTACCTGCCCACTTTGCAGGACCTCCATAGATTATTAACTTTTAGCCGTTCTTCGTTGTACTTTCATTTGCATTAATTTGATCATCTGGGTTCGATTTCGATGGTGGGGGTTGTAAGGGAAGCAGCCCAGTTCAAGTGAACTGGAGGGACATGGAAATTCAAAGAAAATAAAAAACTATATATCAATTCCTTCTAAATAGTCAATTTTTGTGAGAGTTCTGGATTAATGCGCAGCGGAGCAGAAGCAATCCAACGGGAGCCGGCAACGGAAACCTGCACGAAGGCACAAACGTCACCAGCCATGATGTAACTGGGTTGAATAAACGTTCCAGTAAAGCGTGTGTGTGTGTCCACATGCACACATACATGCATAAGAACGCAATTTTGGAAACTGAAAGAACTGGACAAAGGCATTTCAATGTGTGGACAGATATATGCATTTGATGGCCATGAGTTAGCAGTAGAGAGAATTACTGCTTCTCTGAATTGATAAAACAAAAGTTTGTTTCAACCTTTAAAAAATATCCATGTCCATAGACTGTACAAGCACGCCATCATCTTCCCACGTAACATCCTTGGCCTTCGGATCTTTTCCAATTAATTGCAGAGGCGCATCCAGGCGCGGTGGGTTCTGCACACATACAGCATTCAAGAAATTTAGCCATGCTTAATCAATATCGCACTTTCCAAGAACCAAAAGCGAAAACTGTTTGTGCATGAGAACACCAGGATAGAATTATTCCTCAAACACAGATGGGAACACTACCATGCAGCGTATGAGAGGCCAATTAATTCCACGGAAAAATGGATGTTGTTTGATTTCATTAGCACCAGTTTTCGATCCTAATCTGAAGGACGGGTCTCTGTTCAACAACGCATTAATCAATTGTCTGCCAGAAAGACTAACCTGGAAAATCAAGATAGGTCAGTATTAGTCCAGAAGCTTTAAGATTAATAATGACATGGACAAACCCACCTGCATTTATGCTTCAATATTAGTCATAAAGGAGATCTAATTTCAAGTTTTACTCCAATCATCCCTGACCTAGCGTTCCTTTTTAGAGTATCGATTCAATGTTCCAAGACCTCCCCTTATTGTGTTTTAAGAAAGTAAACTAGTACATGCAACAAATTAAGTTATTAGATGTCACCCAAAAAAAGAAACCATCATCATAGGGTGTCAGAACAGGAGTACTTGTTTCTTTTTCAAATTGTGGGATAACCAAAATCTCAAATATAGACTTCTTTTATAGGACGTGAGAAGCACCAATTAAGAGGAAAAAAGTAATTAGGTTAGGACAGTAAAGGAGAAAAGAAGAAACAAAATTCAAGAGCAAAAGGCTAATTCTTTCCCTTCTTAGAAAGACATTTCAGATCCAAGTGTAAAAATTCCCGATAATTACTGCTTCCTAGGAAACAGAAGTTCCTGGTGGCACCAACGTTGGCAATATTTAAGAAGAGCACTATTAAAAAGTCGACAAAATCTTAAGAACTAAATAGCAAAATAAATGCTATCTCACACAATTATGATAACATATTGCAAGTTAAAGATCTTACAGGGATGCTACTTGGAAAGGTGAGATCTTTGTGCAAAATGTTGGCAAATGTCTTTTGCCTGTTCTTTCCTCTGAAAGGTGTACGACCATATAGCATCTCATACAACAAAATACCTGAATTCCAAATTAAATAAAAAAAAATCATGAGAAAAGAGACAAGTCAAATAATGCATGATATTCAAGAGGCAAATTAAGCACAATCAGCACTTATCTTCAGAATGCAATTAATATATCTTTTACTGCAGGCCAAAAAACCAAGGCAAATTTTCTCACGCTGCATAAATCATCCAGTGACAGAACATGCAGCTTGCTAGCTATTTGTTTCAACCACCAAAAATGTAACATCACACGTGACTTAGTTATAGAAATTGCAATGCAGCGTGACAATGACTGTAGGGGCCAAAGCTCTTGAGCAGTCATTGAGCGGTCCCATCACTCACAAGTCACAACTTTGCTTCTTCATAACAAGTATTATATCTAAAAGGGAATGCAATTAGTAGCATGCCATTTAGCCTATCAGGTATGCATGATTGCAAACAGTTACAATCACGGTAAAGAGGACATCATCATCAAACTGTCAGGTATACTCAAAGAACATTGAATAATATGAACATGTGAAATCTGTGAAGAAAAAAACATTATGATGCCATCAATCAAGGACAAGTTATGTTACATAAAACTGGCAGCTTCAGAGGCTTATATTTGCAAGAAAATGGAAAATAATATATAAGGAAAGAAACAGTGGCCCAATGAACCCAATTAAACCAGTTGTGAAGAAAATGGGATACTTATAACATTTGTGTGTCATGTGTGCACGATATGCTTACCAAGAGCCCACCAGTCAATCGCACTGCTGTGGCCCATGCCTGTGATTATTTCCTGAAGTCAAGAAACTCATAAGAACTCTTATATGAATAAAAATGCAACGAAATGGCAGACATAATTCCTAGTTATGTAATAAACATGTTGTTTGATTGATTGATGCAAGATGAACGAGCACATGCAAGCTTGTTTCAAGTTGTGTTGAGAAAAAAATGAATACATGCATGCATATTTCTTTGCTAAAGCAAATCATTCAATCTTAGACTATGGTAAAAATTTGAGTGCAGATTTGAATTCCCAACGAAAGAAAATTAGCAATTACAGTGTTAATAACAACATTCTTCAAAAAATACTGTATCTTTTGAAGAATGTTGTTATTAACCCTGTAATTCTTTAGGAAAGAGACATGAACATAAAATTCTTTAGGGAAATCTAAAAGCTTGGCAGCCAATTAGAAACACTTGACCCCTCCAAATGGTTGTTTTAAACCCAACATAAATGGACATTAAACAACCCAACGGGAGACTCAATCCAGGAAAATTGCTCTGAAAAACTTCCGGTCTTTCTAGAACCTTGTGGAACATAACTTCCTTGGTAGCACACACATTAGATTATTTCAAGTAAACAATTGTATAAAAGTTCAGAAAATGTTAAATTCACCATACAGGAGCAATATATTCTTCAGTTCCAACAAAAGAATTTGATTGAGTTATTGGTTCTGCGACAAATGTTGGTGGTGCTTGACTCCTTGATCTTCTTCTTTTATTAGGTGGTGCATGCTTTATAATCTGCATAGCACAGTTGAATTGAACATGTAAAATGAGTCTTGATTCCCAAAATACAGTTTTAGAAAATCTGTAAACTTCTGATTCCAGTATTATCATGGCATGCATGGTTAAAGAGAAAAAAAATCTGAAAAAGTAAACGATATAAACATTTTCATGATTTTTTTTGGTGCAAGAATTGAATCGTGTAGAGTTACAGAATTGTATTGTGAAATAGTAAAAGTGTAAGAAGAAGAGTGTCAAATACATAGCAGAGAAGACATATTCGATTAACGTAACAATAAATGAAGACTTAAATAACTTCCAAAAACATAGATTAGAAAAATTGGAAAAAGTACGAAGGGAAGGATGGCCCTCCCACTATTCAAACATTTATAAAGAAGATAGGATGTAGTTGGAGTAATGAATAACAGTGGTCCATAGGTAGGAAGCCAAAATGAAAAAAAATATGTCAGAAACGAAACATATGATTTTTTTTAACAGGAAGACAGTGTTTATACTTGTGGTTTGCAGGATGTCAAGAATGACAAATCAAAGTCACTCAAGACAATATGTCCATCCTTCTGAAGAAGAATATTTTCAGGCTTCAGGTCCCGATAAACTATTCCTGTACAATGTCGTAAAAAAAACAAAGTTAAAATAAGAACCAGAAATAAAAAATTCCATACAATCAACGCAAAATATATATAATGATCATTAGAGAACCTTATTCTGTTGCATCTACGAGATGATTAAGTTTTTCTGGTTGATAGACCAACTTTGAAATTTAGGGTATCTACTAAGATGGTTTCCCAAAACAAATACTATATTGGCATAGAAGCATGACATAATGCCATTCAAATTATCTATTTAAATAAACTTAGATAGAAACCACATATATTGTCTGTAAATGCAGATAATGTGTTTCTTAATTTAACCATCCTTATGAACTCAATGGCATATTTGATTGTGAAATCCCATCCAAGGCACTTGCACCCATTAGCACATAATACAACATCAAACATCATTTCAAGTTTATTTGGAAGAAATGGGAAAGGTAAAGACAAATAAAGATTTGTATCACATCATAGCATTTATACAAAATGTTCAGAAGCATCAGGTATGAAAACACTTGCATTCATTCCCTTGTAGTTTGGCATACTTAAATCATGACAACTTGAAGAAACAAAATTTTAAAATGAGTTCTTATCATTTTTTTTCTGGCATTGATGGTAACACAAAATACTGAGCTCCAATCAAACAGGACTTAGGATGATAGCATGCTACTATGACGTCTAACAATATTCTGAACAGCACTTGCATGCATTCATCTTCATGGTGTTCTTTTGATTTATGACTTGAAGAAACAACTAAAAGATAATAAACTTAAACCAAAGCACAGAGAGTAAGGCATACACTTTCTGTTCACAAAGTACCTAAACAATGAAGATATTCCAAGCCAATCACAACCTCTGCAGCATAGAACCTGGAGAATAATAACAGTTGACAATTAACTAGAAGCTTGTTCATATAAGAGGCTGTGATGCAGAAGGCAGCAACTGATATTGGCCAGGTCAAAATGGTTTGGGGGACGGTTGTTTCAAAATTCTATGACATGAGTATTTGTTTGGTAAGAGAGCTCAATGATAAGGAAAATCTAGGGCTAAAAATCAGCTTGTGGGTAAAGCAAAAGAAAATCCTGCACCTTTGGGTTCATTAACCACATCCAAATTCTTATTATAACTTACATTTATTGCAAAGAAATTGTGCCACAAGCAACAGTTTTGGTTTCAAAATTGTGAACCTACAATTGGAAATGGTAAAAGTAGAAATGGCATTGGCATTTTAAGACATTAAATGGAGAACCAGGAGTACCTTGCAGATTCCTCATTGAATAATTTCATGGGTTGCTTGTCAAGCAATGCAAATAACTCTCCACCAGGAAAAAAGTCTGTTATCAGACAAACGTGTGTAGAAGTCTGACAAAATAAAGACGTATCAGTTTATTTCACAGTAAACAATAACTCAGTAAATTTAAGCAACAAATATTGAAATTTTCAGCAAGGGTGCTAGCGGTTTAACTAGGATTATGTGATGATCCATATAAATGAAGAAGAAACACAAAAGAAACCACACAAATTCATTTTAATACGAATTTAGAGTATGCATTCAAGCAATTATTTCCAAAAATGCACTAACTACATGTGCACACTGCACATTTAGGTATTTATATGTGAGAGCGTCCAACCAAAATTTTTAAGCTATTTGTTGGAGTCATTCCATGGTTCTAAATTGTGGGCATGGTGATGGTGCAGTTTCAAGCTTCATAGGTGTGAATCATTAAAAACAAAATAAAAATTAATTTACACAAGCACAATACTTGCAAGGGTGAAAAATTGTACACCTGTGTGTTTAACATTAATTAAAAGAAGGGTAAATTACAATGACCCCTTTTGTGCCCAAACTAGATAAATAACCTAAAAGTTTAAAGATATAATGGAAACCCTTTTTGTACCCAGATTATCCATACTAATGGGTGATTTTAAAATTAGTAAGGGGTTTTGTAATATTTGCTGAAATATAGAGAGGGTTTCAATCATATTTTTATACTTTTGTGTGGTTTGTGTAATTTTACAATAACTTAAAGGTGTTATCCAATTTACCCTTAAGAAAAAAAGACCACAAAGGATTTTATTCAACATCCATTAACATGACATAACCTCTTTTTTGGCCATTACGGGTGGGAAAATCTACACTAGTTGCAATGTAATGGAACCTTAAACATTAAGGGTTGTTAAAACACTGCCTGGGGGAGCAGGTGTTGTGAAAGTATGGCCATTTTCTATGTAAAACTTGCCAAACTTTACAACCACCAACAACGTGGACTATAATTTAACTAAATTAAGGACCACTAAGTCAACCTATTGTTGTTTTCTCCAAACCCTTTGTTGGCTTTATGAGTAATTGCAGAACCAGAAGCAGGAAGCAAGTATAAAATTTCATCAAATATGACACCACAATGGATGATGGCCCCAAGTATTTCCGAGTGGTAAGATGTTTTTCTTTTACTAGGAAGTGAGCAAACATGTTGAATGAAATGATGGGGGGGAAGCAACCAAAATTAAATTGCCCTTGAAACTTCTGGCATTTCAGCCAAACAATAATCTTCTACCATTTAGGCAACAGAAAGAGTTAACTAGAAGCACAATTTGCAGTAGTAGACAACTTAAGCATCTATTCATCAATTACAAAACAATTCATAAATACAAAAATAGGAATTTGGAAACTTGCATGTTAAAATTTCTGAAAGTAGGGAAAAAAAGTACAGAGTATCTCAAATGAGAATACCTGAAAAGAAGAATACAGTGTTGGAAGAAAAGGATGATCCAAGTGCGAAATGATTTCCCTCTCAATGCATGCTCGATGAACCTGTAAAGTAATCATAATAAGTGATGAGAATATACCTTTATGTTATCAAACATGAGTTGTTTTTGGCAGAGAAGATCTATGATGTTGCAGTTTCCCCATTCTGGGATATTGTGGTAATTAAATCATGGTAGGTTTTGAAGCATGCCCGTAGGCTTGCCTGCTTTCTGTGTATCCAAGTTAATATTTGAAATTTTTATTAGATAGGGCCATCTTAGTGGTTCTAAATTTTCAACCTTCAAAGGATAAGAAAATGAGTGTCAAGATCATCATGTAGTTTTCATTCTTGGCCAAAAGTATAAGTGATTGTTCAGCTTTGACCACTCTCCAAGTGTATGCATATATTTTCACATTAATAAATTTATTTGTTCCCCGCATAAAGAATTCCCTTTTGTATATCTTATAAACAATGAAAAATTTTCTATAACTTGAACATGGAACAAAACCACAACTGAAGGGGCATCAATATTGTACCACAAATGATATAGAGACCCTTGGACTTAGGACACAAAGGTGATTGGACAAGAAAATTGTATGTTCTCAAAGTACTTTTCATACAGTGAAAATGTTTAAATATGGAACATTTCAGAAACAACAGCAAAAAGATATAAAAGAAAAGCTTAAGCCAGTTTCAGGAATCATATATAAACAACACAAGTCATGTGCTATCACATAAGATATTAAATGAAATGATAAGAGTAGCTAGGTATCTCAGAAATAACTTCTGGTTCTTCACACCTTGTTACGGTTCAGCATTATAGATTTTTCCATTGCCTTCATAGCATACAGCTCCCCTGCGCCTTGCAGTTCCACTAAATGCACACTGAATTACATAAAAATGGTTTAACGTAAACATAGGAAATCTCTATGGACATGTGAACAGCAATGAGCTAGTCACAGTTCAAGCCAAAACAATCAACAGAAAGCCAGCACAAGAAAAGGCACAGAACTGTCATTGGTGTGGTAAAAAATAAAGATAAAAACTGTCATGATACTTTCTTCCACTACTTATTGCCAGTCTACATATACACACTAAAATTTGATGGAAATAAAAAATAACTAAAATTATAAATGAAAAAAGGAACCTCTCATGACAACCTATCGACCTAAATTAATAACAGTTATCAAGTTTACTAACTACAAGTTGCCTCATTCATTAGTTTTGACAATCCTTCCTCGCTTGAATTTTTACAGCAGAGACTAGAAAATTAATCAAACCAAATACAGCTTTCCAATGTACAATCACGATTCCAAGCAATACCAACATTAATCAAGACAAATACAGCTTTCCAAGGTACCATCATGATTCCAAGTAAAACCAACATTGCCTAGGCGAACAATAACAGAAAAGGTGAAAAATAAAAACAATTGAAGTTGGAAATAGAATGGAAGTCATAAATCACAACACAGATCCATGCACAATGCACCTATTTCAACCAAAAACCTAAAAAAGAGAAGTCAATACCTGCCAGTATCACCACAGCCCAAGGGTCTTATGGGCTTGAAATGATGTAGACCAATCTTTTCTCCACGGGAAGTGATCTGATACCAAATGGATGGGTTTTAATATGAAAAACAAGAAAAGTCAATAAAGAGACAAGCAATAAATAAACTGCTTCTGATTTCAGAGCTGTAAAGAAATATATGAATCTCTTACGAACCAATTATGAAGTGCAAAATCAGTTCAATTCAACATGCATTCATCACACAATGAATAATGAATGCCAATAAAGCAATCAATATAATCCATCTAAATAATAGAGAATCAAAAGGAAGACTTATAGATGTCTTTCATGATTTATGAGCATAACTATTCTCTATCTGACTCCAAAAAGTTGGCTAGCATGGATTATTTTACATCTAGAAGCTGGAATCCTTATCATTATTACTACTTCTGCTGCTTTGTAGTGAAGTCCACTTTAGAGTAATTTATTAATTCATTCCTCCACTGAAGTAAATGAAATAAAGTTCATAATTAAATGAAATAAAGCACGTGATAAGTATCTCTACTGCTTGGTCCTAGACATCAGATAGTACCACGCTACTAGCACACAATCTTTCTTTAGCATTTATTGCACCTGAATCCTGCAACTCATCACTTCCCCATTTCATTTTTCCAAAAAGAAAGCAGGGACATTAATTAACATGAAAAAAAAGCAGAATTTTAAACATCAGGCATTAACACAAAACTGATCGTGTTGTGTCACTGCATGAATTACAGAGTTTCACTTTAGATGTAGGTTTAACCCAAACAAATTGATGCACACTGTGCAATATGTAGAATTGAATATCATTGCAGTATGAAAATAGTAGGTTAACTTGATTGATCAGCACCTTCTGAATTGCAGTCCAAGAAGGACTATTCTTTTTGTGAGGCCGTGGAAAGACAGGTTGAGAATGAATTGCCCACAAATCTTCAGGTCTCTGGAAAATATTAGAGGACATAATGGCATGAACAATGACATAACTACAATTTCTCAAAAAGTAAATGACTTTTCAGAGAAGACATAAAAAGTTTAGGTAGCATGAAAATGGAAGTCAGAGAATAAATTAACTGTTGAAAAACTATGCCAGCCTACACATCACACACCATTTAAATGAGCTGACTTTCTAATAGCATTGCAAAATTTAGTATTAAATCAGCCCAATTTGTGTACTAAGAATCTAAAATTATACATATTAAGATCATTTATAAACCCATGAACTCAATGAATTTCTGTAATTTGAGCATAAATTAAGATTTCTGTAGTTTTTTTTTCAAGTGATTCCCAACACATTAAATTATGGATTTCATAATATTCTGAAGCAGTGAACATAGTCCATTTTGTTTTATTTGTTTTGAAAATTTAGAGATTATCAGTCATCAATTTCAGCAACCAAGCAATTTGTTACACTGCATATCATCATCCTCGCAATTCATCCATGTGCTATTGAGAATTTAAAACACAGAAAGCTCAAAGAAAGAGGCAGATAATCATTTGGACGAAGGTAAATGACATCAGCTAGTTATCAGTCTTAACCTGAAGAGGAAAGAGTACCTTACCAAGTTGGCATCAGGAAGTTCTCGAACAGCTTCATCCACATTTTCTGCAGTAGCTTTAACCTGATAAAGAAGCACATGTAAAAGAATTAAAAGCTTGTGGGTGTTAATGGACATGGCAGATTTCTACGAGCATTAGATCCACTATAAAATGTTTTTTCAAACATGTTTGAGAGCTAACCCAATTTCAGATTTTCACGCAACAGTTCTTCAAATTCATAGTTTTATGCAACAAATATACAATAATTTGGTTAGTTTCTAACTTGTGATTTTCTTGTCGCTGTGGCTAGATAGAGTATAAAATGGCAAACCAAAACATTAGTTGTTTATAAAATGATAAAGGGTATGAGGAGGGTGGTTTCAATTGTCATTAGAGATTACAAGAGGAGACAAGTGAAACAGCATAGTCTTAACTGTGAAAAGAACATAGAGGAAACTAGTGAATATCTAGAAGAAATCCAAAGGCACAGTTTAACGCTATTCTGGGTGTCCTAATTACATCTCAACAAATAGTATAATATGGGGACTCTTATTTCTGTGTTTGGTCAATTTATCCAAATCACTAATTACAAATCCTGATTTCAGCAAGCTAGTTCAATTTTTTAGCTTATCTAAAATGAGTGGACACTATGAAGTATGAACCATGATGTCTACCAACAAAGGAAAAGCGACGGAAGGAACCACATACCAACTTAGCACTTTGTAGTTCTGTTGCCTCTGACAGGCGGTTTTGCAGTGGTTCCACATGATCACTTCCATCCAGTTGAACACCAATGAAGTATTGAAGTTCACCCTACATAAAAAAGGGGACTCATAGCTAAAAATCAGACCACAAGATTCCCACATAACTGCTTGAAAATGAGGGTAATTATTGTTGGATTAAGTCCCACATGAAGGAGGCAGGAGAAAGAACGAGATAAGAGACAACAGTATAATGACAAAGTGGTTAACCATTTTAGTGTGGAATCAACCCAACAATAGAGAGAGAGAGAGAGAGAAGCAAAATTCTCAATAAAAACCCTACAACATTATAGCCTAAGACTATTGGTGAAGAAAAAGGAAAGAGAGATCTTGATTCACCAAGGGCATCTATCTGGTAAGTGTGGACGTCCACTGCTCAAATGTTCTAGATTGATTAAAAGAATCCATTCAGATGGATTTTCCTTGGTAAAATTATCATTACCTCAAAAAAAAAAAAAAAAAAGATTGAGGTACATGGTATGTTACAGGGATCGTGCATGAATAAAAAAAAAAGGCTGGGTATGGTGAGAACACAAGCACAGTCTGCAGTAAGAGGATTGTTGGTTCACATGACAACCTCGGGAAAGGATAAATGGTTGCAAGTGCGGAGTGTTGGTGCAAGTCTCAGAACTGGAAGAAAGAAGGAAAAAGGACAAGATTAGGCCAAGGGCCAAGACACCAACATGATTAACCAGTTTAGTTTAGAGAGCCAACCGCACAATAACTACAGACTAACAAGAATTACAGCCCAAGATCAACCAAGAAACTCAAAGAATTGTCTACAATAACAATCATATACCTTTTGGTCACGCATAGGCTGCAAGTGAAATAAGTTCCAGAATTTCTTTCCTGCATGAAATGAAACATAAAAATTCATCATGATGATTAAAAAAAAAAAAAATGACTACATATTATGTCTTTAACAAGGGGCAATAAAGTTTCCTCCCAAAGATTGTATCATAGAAAATTTGCCAACAGATGATGAATTCTCTCTCTAATATTCAAGGATTAATGAGAAAATTGTGACATTCAGCTAAAAAAGGTGTGCATTTGCAACATCATGAAATTGAATTCACATACTTACCACTCTTGGTATAGTTGATCAACTGAACAGTGATTTCTCTTTGTTCTCTTATAGCATCTCTTACCTTTGAGACAGTTGCTTGATCTGTCTCAGGTCCTTGAAGAAACCTGTATAATTGACAAGGCAAAGTAGAATAGTGTGTTAATTGTTGACAAAGTACATGGTGCAAAGAATAGAAGGGAGTTAAACTGATGCTGTTATGTTTATGTAATTTGTATAGGAAAGGAAATTTTAAACATCAGTGTTCAATTTTTAGCAGCAAATGTTTCCACAAAAAATTACGAAATATAGGCATGATATAATCATGAGAATCAGCATAGATCTGTTCTTGATATTCTTCTTGGCTGGTCAACCAGTCAACTGTAAATGAAGTCCTGCCAATTCTGGTGTTTTGAAAACATTGCAAGTAATAACATGTTCTCTTAACTTTCTCCCTGCCTCTTTAATACTTTGAACCATCGATATCCAAAATTTTAAGCAGAAGTCGCTAATTTATAGTTTTATAATGGTATATTATTTCCTAAGAATTCCAAAAATATTAACACACGAGGGTACTCTTTAAGGCATATAATTGAAAGATAAACTGAAGAAATCGTTGATTAATGAGGAACACAAAGTAACATCATGTTTATTTGGGAAAGACATGAGAGGAACTGGTTGGGCATGAGTACTATATGTAAAAAATAGAGTACGACTTGAAGGCAAATTAAGTGGGAGGCATGTGCAAAAAACAGAAGATAACACTCAATGAAGACAGAAAATGTACTGCATTTCATACCGACAGTTTCTTCCCAAAATTTCTTCTCTAGTGTATTCTGTTAGTTCAAGAAAGCTATCAGAAGCAAATATCTGCACAATAAAGCTGAATTAATATAACATGCTGGTGTAAGGCTGCAAATATGCAGATCAAGTTTTCTTGCAAGGAGTATAATGCTAACATGGAGAAAGAACAGAGCATATATTTTATTTCATGGATTGAAAAGAATGGACACTAGGGTTGATAGCAATTCAAATGCAAAAAAAAAAAAAAAAATGTTAAACATGTATTGATTTCATAACCCCGCTAGTTTGTAGGTCAGTTTTCCAAAGAGGGATGAGCATGAGGGCAGTGTATCAGAAAAAGCCCATGATCTATTGTACTTGTTCAGTTTACTTGTTGGATTAGTGCATCAAGTTGTGGAGCAAAGCTGGAGCAGTGCAACTAACTGACTTGGATGAGAAATCCTATGCGCATTCAATGTTTCCAATATGGGAGACACAAGTGTGTATGCAGACACACTGTGGACTGTGATGTACAGAGATAGTCTAACTAGCTGTTTTGGAGGTACTTGTATTTGGGACAGGGTGTGGAGGAAGCACTACATTGTACTATTCAGTTCTTTAGTCAAATTTCCTTCTTTTTTTTTTTTTTTTTGATGAATTATAGTCAAAATCCCATGCCTTCATTGACCTTGAGTCAACTAACTAATGTAAATCTTTGAGTTCTTTTCATTCACAACTGTTCTACAAAACTTTTTGTGCTCTATCCTCGCACATGAAATTTAGTGTAGCAATCAAACATGTAAGAAAGCATATACGAGACAGAGTTATCCATTTCTACATTACAAGCTCCTCCTCTTCCCCTCGTTTAAAAGTTTATGAGTTGATGTGAAAAAAAGCTTTTGAATCCAGTGCTCTGGCGTGAATGCAAGAAGGTTTTAGATAGCAGACTAGGTGGCCTATTCCTTTACTCGTGCACTCAAAACAGACTTTGAAATTCAAGACTTATTGGACAATGATGAGAAAAATAGTACGAAGAAAGTATTAAAACTGACTAGATGCCTTACAATGGGGTTATCAGGAAGCCTAGGATCTGTGATCACAAAATTCTTTTCAATGCGTTCCAATGTGGTAGCTAAATCAAATCCTTGGCGTGTATCCCTTTCCCATTCAGCACGGTCCCAGCTGTCAGAGCGTTCAATGTCTTTAGTCATCAAAACCTCTGGTTCAATAGGTGGTGGTTCTTCATGCTTTTCTGCAGAATGTGTAGACTTAGATTTGAACCTGAGAAGAAGAAAGGATGATATCGCACAAGTGATATATCTATTTAAAATTTTAGAGAATGATGTAGATGTAAGTTTAGTGAGGCAAACACAGCGGGAAGGTGGAGCAGCCAGACTAACCCCATCAAGGAAATGCGAGATGATTTTCTTGAGTTTTTGGCAGCGTCAGGAAAGGTAGTGGGGGATTGAGAGACATTAACCGGAGTGAGTCTACCAGGTGCGGTGACATTGCCAAGATCAATGGATTTAGGGAGAACATAATCGAGGTTGCCAGAAGTTTCATGGCTCACAGTGCGAGAGTGAGATTTGGGGTGCTTGACAGTTTGGACAACTTCAGTCATGGAATCTAAAGCCTTAGCCTTCTGACGAGCTGACAAGTTCAAGAAGCAGAAGAATCACGAATCAATTTTCATGGATATACGACTGTATTTTAATAAAGAAAAAAAAACAGAAAAATGGGGAAATCAATCAACTGTAGATACCATCGTAGCGGATTAAAGACTTGGGCAATCCATTTGGGCGCAAGGCCTTGTCGTTAACACCTTCCGTATATTTGCTGACCTCCACCTGCATTCTGCGCTCACCAAAACCAAAATGACGATAATGTTTTACTGCTAATCTATACAATTTGATACAAGTTCATCCAATTAGATTATTGATCATTAAGAGAGAGAGAGAGATTAAATATGAAGCGTACCCAATGAATTTGATAGTGTTGCCATGATCATCCTTGATAGGGGTGACGGTGAGAAGATTCCAGAAAGGAGTGCCATTCTTCTTGTAGTTGAGAAGCCTCCCACAGTAACTTGTCCCATTCTTGACGGCATCTCGTATCTTCGCCACTTCATTATGGTCCGTGCCTGCGCCTTGCAGAAACCGGCTGCATTTGCAACATACACACACGACGAGACGAGACGACTATTCAATTAATTTGTTTTAAAAATCAAATCACAGTAACTAATTCTTCGATTTAATCAACGATACCTAGCTACAGTCCTAGTCCTAGGGGCGGGTCTCCTCCTCCTTCCCCTCCGTTTCCCTCTACTGCTCACCGTTTCTGTGCTTTGTATTTATTTTATTTTATATACTTTTTCCTAATTTGTTCTTTTTTTAAATTAAAAAAAAAAAAACCGATGTTTTATATACCAGTTCCCTCCTCCTCCTCCTCCTCCTCCAACTACTACTACTATAGGCTTTAACCGGAATCGGAATCTTAAGGGGAAAGGTTAACCGTTTTTCAACTGAAAGGTTTGGTAGTGGATGGCTAGCTCACCAGTTCCTTCCGATAACTTCTTTCGAAGAATAGCCGGTCATGGTAAAAAAACCACTGCTTGCATACATGATAGGGTAGTCTGGTTTGGTGGCATCAGAGACCACGAACGTTTGCTGCAATGTTGCCAGAGCATTCTTCAGCTCCTGGGATACCCTCGGAACGATTCCTCCTGCTTCGCTTTCCTCTGATGTCCTCGTCGACTCCACCATAAATGAGTTTTTTTTGCTTCTATTTCCTCCATCCTCCTGTTCTGACCCAGTTGCTATAGCTTTGAAACTACGTTCTCCTACATCTGACCTCAAAACTATTCCCCATTCTGCAGTCCTTTCTGCAATGCTAGCTCCGGTTAGTATCTTATTTGAATAGGAGGGGGAGGATTGTCCTATAGAAGATGAGTTGTTATGATCGGATGAGGTGCCTTGATCTTCATCTTTTCCAGTCCCAGTCCCGTTCGATTGATCTGTTATGGAATCATCATGATCAGAAGTGTTCTTGGACTTTCTTTCAAATGTCATCCGCTTGTTCACAGCCTCTCTGCCGCTACCAGAAGTTGCATTAGTAGCTGGAGATGATCCGGATCCCTCCTCCACTACTTGGACATCTTTTGATCTAGTGCCAGTAACATTATTATCATTATGAGGATCAAAACCCTCTATTGATCTCTGCGCTTGATCGTCCGTGGAAGAATTCACCTTTGGTTTGTCCATATTTAAATTTCTGATCTTTAGAAATCACCTATGTGCCAAAATTATGGAAAAAAAAACAAGTCAGAGAAGAATGTTACACACGTTAGTAACCTGGCACATGCTCTATCAAAATAAATTGAAAGCTAGCTAGCTAGCTAGTGCTATGAACTAAGAATTGAGTTTCCAAATTCCAACAGAAAACATCGGGCTGAAAATTCTGAATTCAAAAGCAATTAATTTGAGGAAGCATCAAGCAAACAGTGCTGTAGAATTCACGGTGTGCTGTCCATGGATCAAGTAATCACAAAATTCTGGAAAAAATGCTGCTAATTAAAAATGGCAGTGAAAGGTACAGCAGAGATCAAAAGACTACGTCAAGAAACTGGAAACAGTAAGATATGCTGTAAAGGTACAGTTTAGTTTGATATTTCTACAAAGATTTGATCGACTACTTAAAGAATAAGAAACAGTGTATTTATTACAAGCATCCCTTAAAATTCAGCCATATGTATTTGTATAACACTATTTTATATAGCTCTATCAGTACATTGAATACTGATAGAACAGAAGAGCTGAACAGGAAATTAAGGAGAATGAGGTGGGAGCATAGTGCCAAATGGACCTTAAGAAAACAATAAAGGAAGGCATGGTATAGCATAGAGCGCGGGGAATATTCATTGAGAAGGTTCTCACGTAATTCAGATCAACGGCAACAGTACAGAATCAGACTTCAAGGGTGGCTAGCTAGCTCTTCTCGTCGGCCATGAATCAGCCATATTTGCAGCTCGTTCGTTAATTAATAATTCACAGAAACTGGACGTCAGCCAGCCACAGGGAGCTAGAATAAGGGCTTTTGATTTTAGTAATTAAGCTGTTAGCTAGCTAATCGCCGGCCCTTTTATCTCTGTCAGCACTGCAGTAGTGTACTCCCGCGTGTGCGCAGTAAATGAAGTGATAGTTTCTTCCTTGTTTTGAGTTCCAAATGGAAGCATTATCAGGTGGGTGTGGTGGAAATCAGATAACGTTCCGTTTTCACCATTAATGGAACGTCCCCAACTATCTTGTCCCCTTCTACACGCAGTGAGTTAATATAACTTACCCAAAAAAAAGAGTTAATATACCGTGCGGGTTTTGAAAAAGTAATGGATGAACACTAAGTTTTATTAACATATTTAAATGAGGCCACAAATTCTCGATGGGGCGTTGTTTCGAGATAAGTTTCGCCATGGCGGTGCTTGGTATGCTTTTTAGTTGGAGGTTTTAAAATTTAATTTTTTTAAATTAATTGTTTTTAATTTTTTTAAATTTATGATATTAAAAATAAATTTTAAAAAATAAAAATTATTATTTTAATATATTTCTAAAAAAATAATTTTAAATAAATTATTATTATTATTATTTAAAACATCCTGTGAATTTTATTTTTATCCTTTATTTTTTTGACACATATAACTAAATTAGGAGAGCCTCAAATTATTTTGTTTTGGTTTTTGTATATGGTACTTGAAAATATAATAATAATTGTATTAAAAAATTATTTTTAATATCAATATATATATATATATGGTGTAATTGTATTTTTGGAGACTTAAATCAAGTTTTCGTACACGTAGTAGCTAGATCCTTCAATTGTCACCTTCCATCACCTATCTGTAGTCTTCGACGTGGCACAGAATCAATAAAGGACCGATGGATTCATTTCTGATCTCTCGGTCTCATTTCTTTGCAAAAATTTCTTACAGGAAAAAAAAAAAATCAAATACATAGGAACGTCCACATCAGGTGAGGTCCGACTGTAGATAGCAGGTAAAAAAATGCAAGGTGGTCCAGTAGTCGTGGCATCAGTTGCAGCCACGAAAGTCCTTGGTACTCACGTGGCTACGTGCCGATATGTGGGTCTCGGCTTTCCCCGAAGCTGAGTGGTGACCGTGTCTCCTTCCACAGATGATGTTTGATAATCTGCCAAGAAGTCACTGTCCTCCCCGTCCCTCTCCCTCTATGTCAAGGCTAGCTGTTAAGAAAAATGCATACACGCGCAGGAACGAGTCGTGCTTTTAGGTCTTAAAAAAAAATTATTTTATTTTATTTTATTTTAAATTAATATGTTTTTTATATTTTCAAAATAATATTAAATATAATTTTTAAAAAATAAAAAAATATTTTTTTAATATATTTTAAAATTAAAAATATTTTAAAAAATAATATAGTTATATTTTCAAACACGCGCTCTTCGTTGTCCAGCCCCTCATTTCTTCAAGATGTAAACTTGATTATTGTATCGATATCCCATCACGTGTCTGGTCGAATTCTTTTTTCTTTTCTTTTTTTCTAGATATATCTACTTTACATTAGATTGATTTTTTTTGCGAGGATAGGAGTAATGTGGATGTTGCTTTCAAAAAAAAAAAAAGTAAATTATAAATTTTTTTAATAAGATAAATATGTTATATATTAGGAAAAATATTAAAGATTTATTTTAGTTTGAAATTGAATTTTTTATGTTTTAATTGGTTTAAAACAATAAAATTAAATATTAATTCTTTTCAAAATTTGTTATTAATATCACGAGAGCTATACATAAAATCAATTAAAATAAAACATTAAACTTAGTCTTAAATAAACTTAATATAAAAAATTAAATTGTAAATAAAAAAAGTTAATTGAAAAAAAAAACATTAGGAGTGACAATGCAATCTACAAGGGCTGTTACCTTTCTCTTGTATTGCATTTTTATTTTTTTAGTATTTTTTTCATTTCATGTTACCTTGTATGTTTATAATTTTAAATACTATTTTATAGTTTATTGAATATTCATTTTATAAAATCAAACTATAATTATTAAATAGGAAGTAAAAACATCCAGTATAATAAAAAAGAAAAGCTGCAAAAAGAGAAAAACAAGTTTGACCTTTGTTGCGTTTACATTGTTTTTTTTTTTAATTTTTATTGTTTTACGTGTAGTTACAAAAATCTCAATTAAAAAAAAAAAAAGATTAGGATGAATAAGAAATTGAGGTGGTTACTGTTACCCCAAATTTTTGCACTGTGATGACAGTCAATGTTCCCACAACCGGACCAAGTTAATTCAGCCATAATAATATTAACAAATACAACCAGAAACTTTCGTTTATTATATTTATATAATTTATGCCAATATCAATGATGTTTTAAAAAAAAATTAGAAATATATTAAAATAATTTTTTATTTTTTAAAATTAATTTTTAATACAAATAAATTAAAAAAAATCTGAAAATAAAAAAATTATTTTAAATAAAAAATTAAAATTTTAAAAAATACATATATAATACATTCCCAAACAACCCTAAAAATGAGTCATCTGATTCAAATATTTCAATATACAATGGGCTCTATATGGCCCAATATTGATCGCAGAATGAAGTGGTCAGGCCCATTTATGCCCGGCGAAGCCGTCATGCCCGTCTCGCCACAGGCGTCCTCGATTCCAAACAACGAAAAGAAAGCAGTGCAGTGCAGTGTTACATTAAGTATATTTTAATTCTTCTTCTTCTTCTTCATCATCATTTGTTCTTCGGTTTTGTTTGTTGATTAATCTCTGCAAATGCTCATTTAGTTTGTTTTTTTCTGTCGTTTTTGAATATTTCTATTATTATTTGATTTGCTTTAGTTTCTCTTCTTCGATTTACTCCGTTAGGTAGTTTGTTGGTTTCCCCACTATGCTTGTACTGGTTGCTAGTAATACCTGGCCATGAGCATCGTTGTTCCTTTCTTCCATTTTTTTTCTTTTAGGGTTTAGGTTTTTGCTCCGGCTTTTAATTTCAAAGACCTCTTATGTAATAAATTGATAGAAAATTAAATAATTAATCGACAAATCTAATTTCAGTTTAGGGTTGTGCGGCTGCAAGTAGAGAGATCCGTGTATCCATAATAATTAATAACTAACAATGGACACTGGTGGCAACTCTCTCCAATCCGCTGCTCCTGACGGGGTTAAGAGAAAGGTTTGCTATTTCTACGATCCAGAAGTCGGCAATTACTATTATGGCCAAGGTCACCCCATGAAGCCCCACCGCATTCGAATGACCCATGCTTTGCTTGCCCACTATGGTTTGCTTCAGCACATGCAGGTCCTCAAGCCCTTTCCTGCTCGTGACCGCGATCTTTGCCGCTTCCATGCTGATGATTATGTCTCTTTCCTCCGCAGCATCACCCCTGAGACCCAGCAGGACCAGCTCAGGCAGCTGAAGCGCTTTAATGTTGGTGAAGATTGTCCTGTCTTTGATGGCCTCTACTCCTTCTGCCAGACTTACGCTGGTGGCTCTGTTGGGGGTGCCGTCAAGTTAAATCACAACCTCTGTGACATTGCTGTCAATTGGGCTGGTGGCCTCCATCATGCTAAGAAGTGTGAGGCTTCTGGTTTTTGTTATGTCAATGACATCGTGCTTGCAATCCTGGAGCTTCTTAAAGTGCATGAGGTTTTTTACCATCCCTCTCTCAGCTATAGACGCTAACATGGTTGCTCAATATCACCTTTAAAAATGCCCGGTTTTTTTTTTTTTTAGTGAAGCATTGGTTTAATTCAATCTCTTCTAATCGCTACTCCAAAATTGAACGGCACCTATTGTATCATTATTTTTTCTCTTAGGTTTTCAGGTCTAATCTTATAATCGGATTTTTTTTCTTTCCATGTCTGTGCAGCGTGTTCTGTATGTGGATATCGACATTCATCACGGTGACGGTGTGGAGGAAGCATTTTACACCACTGATAGAGTCATGACCGTTTCATTCCATAAATTTGGAGATTATTTTCCTGGGACTGGGGATGTACGTGATATTGGATATTCAAAAGGAAAATACTACTCTCTTAATGTTCCGTTGGATGATGGGATTGATGATGAGAGCTATCATTTCTTGTTTAAACCACTAATTGGAAAAGTAATGGAAGTTTTTAAGCCGGGCGCTGTGATTCTCCAATGTGGTGCGGACTCATTATCTGGCGATAGATTAGGATGCTTCAATCTTTCAATCAAGGGCCATGCAGAGTGTGTTAAATTTATGAGATCTTTTAATGTGCCATTATTGCTATTGGGGGGTGGGGGCTACCCCCTTCGAAATGTTGCTCGCTGCTGGTGCTATGAGGTATGATTTTCTTGGTAAATGATCCTTTGTTGTTTTGCATTTGAAACGTATCTTTCTCAATTATTTATGAATTTGATTTGAATTAATTCCTTTAATGTCTTCTTTTAACCTACTACGTTTTTGATGCGTCTAATACATGACAGACTGGAGTTGCACTTGGAATAGAAGTTGATGATAAGATGCCTCAGCATGAGTATTATGAGTACTTCGGTCCAGATTATACTCTCCATGTTGCCCCTAGCAACATGGAAAATAAGAATTCCCACCAGGTACTAGAGGAAATACGGTCTAAGCTCCTTGATAATCTTTCAAAGCTTCAGCATGCACCGAGTGTCCAATTTCAGGAAAGAGTACCTGATACTGAGCTTCCGGAGGTATCCTTCGCTTATTTTTATAAAGACAAAATAGGTGGCATTGATTCTAATTGTTCTCACAATTCACAACTAAGATTTTACAGTTTATCTACTTGGGCTTCACATTAAAACTCTTTTTAATAGTCTAGGGTTAACTTGTTTTATAGTTCATGAATAGAATCATGTCTGCTAATTGATACTAAACAATATGTCATGATTTATTGAGAATGATCAGGCAGAAGAAGAACAGAATGAAGCAGATGAGAGATGGGATCCAGATTCCGACATGGATGTTGATGAAGAACGGTATCTTTTGTTCTACCAAAAAAAAACAAGTTTTTATAGATTATTTTATGTCTGCTGT